CCCAAGGTTCAGTAGGTATGGGTAAAGGAGTATACAAACCATGTGGTAAAACTCTAGATTTTGCTTGTTTACATGTTATGCACCTTTCACAGATCCTTTCAACATCACGTTTCATGTGTGGCCAAAAGAAGTGATCATTCAGAATATCTAAAGTTTTCCTAACTCCAAAATGTCCCATTAAGCCTCCTGCATGAGATTCCCTTACTAACAATTCTCTTAAGGAACAGTTAGGCACGCATAATCGATTTTCTCTAAACAAAGACCCTTCATGCCTGTAAAACTTATCAAAAGCACTCTTCTCACATGCATTAAAAACACATTAGCAAAATCTAGATCATTAGCATATAATTCTTTAATGTGCTCAAAACCTAATAACTTTGCACTTAGGGTAGAGATAAGTGTGTACCTACGAGATAATGCATCTGCTACAATGTTTTCCTTTCCTTACTTATACTTGATCACATAGGGAAACGTCTCAAGGAATTCCACCCACTTAGCATGTCGTCTATTCAACTTACCTTGTCCCTTCAGGTGCTTCAACGACTCATGATCAGTATGTATCACGAACTCCTTAGGCCAAAGATAATGCTGCTATGTCTCTAAAGCTCTTACCAATGCATACAGAGTAAGTTATGCATAATTCACTATAAAGAACAATTTTGCTCACTAGATTAGTTGCCTTATTTTTTAGGTATTCTTGGCTCAATCATTACAAAAGAAAAGGGTTTGCTTAATCTTGTCAGTGGTGTTGCAAAGGTATTTCCTCAAAAAAAAACTACATACCTCTTTATTTTTCCTCTCAAATGTGTGAATTCTATAAGTTCCTATTACTTTCTTTTTTAGTGTACATTGTGACTTAAAAATGACTTAGTTCTCTTTATTGTTATATGTCTTGGGGTGGGAGGAACATTTTATGCTTGTATGGTATAATTCTCTGCACATTTTGCTTTCTTTCTAGCTAGAAGATGGAAGATGTAACATGACAAACCAACTTTTTTAAAAATAATTTGAACTATAGCAGTCATATCTTAGATATTAGATGATTGTACGTGGGTATTTTCTAAAATCTTGGGGATGCAGCTGTGACTTCAATTTTATTTAAACTTGTTATGCTTTACTTATCTTGGTTCTCTTTAAGGCTTTCTTATAATTCAAATAACTATCACTTATCGAACCTCCTGCATCTCCTCTTTTGCCCTGTTCTTTTATGACCAAAAAGTAATTAACTAATCCTTCGTCATAACCTACCTTAAATTCTTTGAGAATTATCAATATAAATTATGTGATTATTATCTAGTGATTTTATTTATTTTAATTTTATCACATATAATTTTTAAGCAACAAGATAGTACTCCTTCATTAGTTAAGAAGCTCATTAATGATGCTCTGTTGGCTTAGGTTTGCATTTTATCTTCTTGTTTTTCTTAAGCTTTACAATGCAAGATAACTATTCTTTCTTATCCCTTAATTCACCTCATTTGCATTCAAACTCATGATCTCTTATTTTCATTAGAAAAGAAATTATCACTAAACTTCTTAGGTCCTAGCATTTTTAATTCTTTTCATAAACACCCGTGTCAATATATTAAAAAAATTTAACATTTAATTAAAAAGGATTATTATTATTATTATTTACATAATCATACATTCAATTTAATTTTATTTGTTGAGCAAGAGTTACTACAAACGCACGCATCAAGAATGCAACATGAAGAAGCAAGTTTAGTGACTAACTAAATATAAAGGGATCATTGTGACAACCTATTAGGGCATGCATTCACTCCAATTAAGAAGTCTAACGATCATTTTGAACATATCTTGAGCTATTTGTAAATCTGCTACTCTTCATTTCAAATTATTATAAATGCATTAGAGCATAGAAACTTCATATCCTTATTTGTTGTATATTGTTGCATACAGTCTTTATATTAAATTCTCTCAAATAAAACATGCTTCTCTATAAAACAAAATTCGGTAGAGTTAATCTATATACTCTTTTTGGTGTTGGATAAGCAAACTTCTTTTTCTCTTGTTGTTGGTAGTTTTTGAAAAAATTAGAGACATGAATATATATATATATTTGTATACTTATAATATAGAGGGTTTAAACCCATTGTATTGATCTAAATCAATGTTTTGTACGATGGATTTTAGTTAGAACAAGACAATGGAAATATGGAATGTGTTAATAAAAAAAGGAAATATGGAATACTCTTTTATTCTTGAAATTAGAAAGCAAGTTTTTTTTAGGGTGGTGCTATTGGGACAACTTTTTTGCCACACCTTTTTATACAACTTCCACATGTCATTAAATAAGTAGATGCATTCAATATCATGGGTCTCACATGAATTAAAAGAACTAATCATTTTAATAACATGTCAGGTTATTAAAAAAGGTGAGATGAAAAGGTTTACAAAAAGTATTTCCCTTTTTTTAATAAAAAAGTGGGCAAAAAACTAAATTCAAATTCTACAATAAACGTAAAATCACTTTCAATTTGGTAGTCCTTGTGGGGTTTGAAAGTTGTACAATATTTCCTTTTTGGTACTAATTCCCTAATATGTGAAAGTTATATTAGATCTTAATTGATTTGAAGTTGATCAAAGTGGGACCTTATAAAGGGAGAAATTCTCCAAATGTCTATTTCTACATTTATGAAACTTAAACTTGAGATCTTATTTAAAGAGAACTGAACTCATTTCAGTCAAACCAACAAGTCATTGGTTGAGAGTTGTATAATATTAATTAGGTTATATTATTCTTTTGAGCTATTATTGTTAAATTTTTTTCTTTATAAGAAAGAAAGTAATTAAATTAAATGCCAACTATATCTTCCAACTTAGAAAAAACTCTTCTCCAACCTTCCATTTTTGGGCCTGTTTGGTATAAGGTACTTTACAAAGATAAAATTTACTAAATCCAAATTTTTTTTAGCAAAAGCTTTAGAATTATCAACTTTATAACTTCTAATAAAAGTACTTCAAAGAAAAGTGCAATTAACTTAGGAAAATGTATTTTGTAAGTTGTTTTCCCAAAATGTTTTTTTTAGAGAACCTATATGAAAACTCATTTTTAATTAATATTTTCAAAATCTAATAATTGGATTGAAAGTCTTATTCATATAAAACATGTGTGTTAATTTTTATATCGATCTAGTAAGCCTAACAAATTTGTTGTTTATAGAAAATTTAATATGGTCAAATATACTTCATTGAAAATAAATTTTTTAATTAAAAAGTTATAAGTATTAAATTAATATGAAAATTAATATGCATGATTTACATAAATAAAAATTTCAATCCATAGTTAAATTGTGAAAATATTAATTAAAAGATGTATTTTTAAATACGTCCTCTCAAAAAAAATTGAGAGTGCAATATACTCTATACTAACCTATTAATTTGACTCCAACTCTTTTGGTAGAGTAAATATTTTAATAGTTTAGCCAAATGAGTATTGAGCAAAAGGTATGTGATATCTCCACTTCAATACGGGCCTTTTTTTCTTCTTTTTTTTTCGGTATAATAGGAGTCAACCTTTTTGCTTTTCCATTCTCATGTTAATGCTAAAAAATAGAAAAAATTGTATGAAAGTGAGTACTTTATTGATGAAAGATGAAGAGGGCTTACAATAACGAGAGAATAAAGTAAAATAATCATTTTTGGACATATAACATTGGAATATTTATAAGATATTGCATAAAATTATTCTAGAATTACAATTCTAATTGGGTTGGTATTAAATATTTTAGTTCTAATATAATTTAATTTATTTAATCTTGATAGAACTCTTTTAGAATGCTTCAACGAGTATTAATTTGCATAGAACTCAATTTAAGGTGTAACACCTTATGTTAATGACTAGAATCAATGACTTTTAACTCAATTAAAAAGGAGATTAATATGGAGTCACTTAGATTGTTATCAACTTTTTAATTGCCCAATATACTTTAATATAGGAGTTTAATTAATCAATGATAAACTTAAAGTTTGGATGAGAAAAAAAAAAAAAAGGTTTAAGGACTAACTTGGGAGTTCATCCAAGATAAATATATAAAAATAAAGTATATTTTAAGAGATACTTCTTACCTACTCATAACAAAAAGGATACATCGAAAAATTTTAAAAAAGAGAACATTTTAATAACTTTGATATGAGGATAATTATGGGATATTATTTTAGTTAAATACCCAATTTAGTTCCTCAACTTTTATTTTTATACCAAGTTCATCCATAAACTTTAAAAACTAGCAAATTGTCTTTAAATTTCAATTGTGAAATACTAATTTTGTCTTTTTGTCAATTAAATGTTGACATGAATCATTTTTCCTTCAAAATATTTATTAAATTTGACTAATTTATATTTTAAAAATATATATTAAAGATG